ACTCAACTAAAATATACAAAACAAAACTTGGTAGCATTGTAGCGGCAACACTACTTTAACAGGGTAGCCCCATACTCTCTTACACGAGTTCAACTCGTTGACTTTGTTGTTGTTTTTACATGTAGTTTTTTTTGACAAGAGAGGAGATGCGAGCAGAGAAATAGCAAATCAAAGAGAGTTAATATCCACAAGTTAAAGTTATATTATTTACTTACATTTATTTAGAAACCCACTTTTTGCTTCATGGTACCTGATTTTTTTGTTAACAAATTAACAGCCTAAATAATTATTCAGAAGTGTGCAAATCGCGAACTGTCATTGAACTATCATTAAGCAATTGGTACTTATAATACCAGTAGCTTCCACAAGCGCCCAACAATGTTTAAACGTATTTTATCTTCGCCAGCAATTAAAACGTCTTCGCCTTTTGATATGTATCACGCCGGATCAATAAATTTCCACTATCCAGTTAATATTTTACATGGGGAGATAATATAAAAAAAGAAAGCGAACCGATATTCGCGAACATACCATGGACATTCTCAAAAAAAGCGCGATCGATAGTTACGATAATCTTCCTCTTCTATCTATTAGCAGCTTTAACAGCTTTTTTGAAGAAGTCTGAGATTGTTTCACCCGAAACTCGGCTATATAAATAACCCGTTCGCGATTAATTATTTATAAGTATTCGGAGGCATAAGTATTCCCTCTTTATATGAGTCTAATTTTAAAATAGTGCCTGATCTGTATAGTTCGTCTGCTTCACAATTAAGTTATGTTCTGAACCCAATAGAGGATTGTCGTGAAATAAGAAGTCTCACTAATTGATCAAGACATTCTTTCACTACTCTTAATGATACCCTTCTAGACTTTAGTGATCTCAAAGCCGTTGCCTATCGGTGAATATATATATATTTCTAGTTATAAGAATCCTGTTTGTCAGGAATAGTGTTTCTTTAATTGCTGTGATCTCCGTTTCGAAGTTACTCCAGTGATTTGCTAGCCGAAAAGCGGATCTGGTATTGAATTTTGCTCAAAGATATCACCTCCCACACCATTATCCAGTTTGGACCGGTCCGTATAGATATTTAACCCTGTGCCATGTCGTGAATTCTTCATTATTGAATTTGTAGTTTCCAGCTATCTTTTTGAAGTGGAATTTAAAGCTTTTTACAGCTGATTCCCATAAACCACCCATGTGAGGAGCGCTTGGGGGGATAAATTACCAATACGTACAATTTCAGCGAAACTTGTCTAACAAAGTCCACAAACTGTTTTTCAGTGGCTTTTTGGGCTCCAATAATTGTTTTACCATTGCCATTCATCATTTTTGAGCGAAACCACGCCGTCCGATGAAGCGAGCGAATGCCGCGAGAAAAGCCTCTGTCGTCAGATTTGTACATAGCTCAAGTTGTACAGCTTTTGTCGTAAAACAAACAAAAACGACAAGGTGAGAGACCTTTACATTGAAGCCTTAACCTGGAAAGGCCCAACCAATTCGACACCTCTTATTGTAAAGGGCAGAGCGAACTTACAGCGTGCAGGGGAAAGTAGAAGGGAATTTCTTGCTTGTACGTTATGCACAATTTGGACATGTAAATGTACTATTTTACTTGAGGCTTGCGTCGGGGAATATAAAACTCTAGGCAGACTATTTGTTGCATTATGCGATGTTCGGAGTGTAGCACTAGTAAATGGGTAGTAGGTATGGGATGGCGTTCTTTGTATGTCAGACTAGAGTTGACCAGCCGACCATCTGCTCGAACTAGACCTTTCGTCTCGAGGAAAAGGTTTAGTACTAAGAGTAAGCTCTTTTTATCAATTCTCGATTATCTTAGTAGTGAGATCTCGCGGTTGAAGTAGCGCATTTGAGTATGTGCGATAAGAGTGACCTCGTTTGGGGTATACTGGGGGTACTCCCTTAACTTTAATTTTGAGTCGCTCTCTAAATTTTAGAACGTAGGCGATTACTCTGAGGGCACGGGGATCGATGAAAATCCCTCAAGGATGTCAGTATCTTCCGATTGTGTGTGGAAAGAGTAGATTTTTCGACATTTTAGGGCAATTATGTTGCGCATGGCCGATTGTGGACAAGAATCCGGTGATTCTGTTAGCCATCGGGGGCCATTCCACCAGAGAGTTGTGGTGGCAAGCTACATCGGTATGCCCCCTCTTGTACCTAGATCTGGAGGATTGTCAGCTCTGGCTACGTGTCGCCAAGTGGCAGATCCTACTAGGTCAATTACTGGAGACGTTCTATTGGAGATATACATATTTTATGCATGTGCTGGTTTTACTAGCCAGGCTAATACTATTTCAGACTCGGACCAGAAATATGATATAAATTTTGTCATGTTCAAATGCGTTTGCATCATGGATACTAATTTAGCAAGTAGTAGCGCACCACATGGACAGTTCTTAAGGGACCCACCGTTACCTATACTACCAATAAGTGGCTTGTAGTCGCGGTATCGGTTTGTGTGTGCACATAACTTGTGGCACAATATTATATAGTCTCAGATTGTTTGCGGAATGAGACTAACTTTTTAAACGAAGTGGTTTCACTTGTTCTTCCCAATCGGTTCCGCGTAGTCATAATTCTTATATGAGGATTTTCGCTTGTATCATAATTGCCGAAAGCTCTCCTGCGGGGTCGAAAATATTGCCACAGAGGATAGAATTTGTCGCTTCGTTATGTAGTGTATGAAAACTGGTCAGATATCGCATTCCATTGAATCCCCAGAGTTTTTGTTGTACTTCCCTTTAAGGCAAATTAGTGTCCAACAGATTTTCTTTAGGTTTGTCTCTTAAAATGTTAGGGTGGTTCGCCGTTATTATGGGATCTGCTAGCTTTAGGTGTGAAACCTTTTGCCGATGCTTGCTATTTATGTGATAGCTTGAAAGCATATTTGTTAGATGCGGTAAGCCTATAGATTCTGCTTGAATGCGCTTATCCGCTTCGGGAGATATTAGGGTAATGGGTTGGATTTTGATATTTTGAGTTTTGAACTACTCTTCCGTTTATTCTCGTGATTTCAAAATTGGCTAGGTTTGTTGGCAGCATTTGCCTATTTTGTGCCCTAGACGCCATAAATGATTGTTGTGATCAGGATTTGCTCGTGCAGTTAATCCCGTGGCCCTTTTAACAATATTTTGAGGTGAGCTGGAAAAATTTGTGATAGGTAACATTGAATGATGTCTTTTGTGGCAATATACGCAATTGAATTTGCTTTCACACTTTTTAAGAGTATGCGCACTTGGCACACAATTTATGCAAAGTTTCTTTGTTCTCACTATTCCTATTATCCTATTGGTAATAGATAGAATTTTTGGCGAGTTCATAAGGATGGTTTTACTCACGGATGTGGAGTAGGTGCAGTTGCTTTAAGTTATTTGAATTGATCTGAAATCATTGCTTTTGCTTCTTCAAACTGGTCTAAGCAGTTTTCGTAATTGGTGAAAGCCAAGAATTTAAAATTTTCACGGAGATCTGAGTCGTCAGATTCTACTATTGCGTCCAAAAACTGTCCAGATTTTCTTTTTTGATTTCTAATACCGATTCAGAATCGTCTTAAATCTATGAAAATGAAAATCGAGTGCAGTATCATATTAAATTATCACTCTCAGAGATAAATTTTTTGCTTTGAGCGTGTATCTTATGTCGGTGTCATGAACTCTTTTCTTCAGAAATCATTAGCGGTACTTTTAGGGACTGTGTTGTTTTAGGTTCTTTTGAATCTGAACTCATTTAGAAAATATATTGAAATAAATTAAAACTTTCTCAGTGTCGAATGATAAAATTCAAACAATATTTTCTTATATGTATGTGCAAAATAAAACTTTTTTAGGTAAATAAGAGTTTTTACTTTGGTTAAAATCATTTTAATTTCAGTATATATGTATAAACGTAACTCTTTTAAGTTAATATGAGTTGTTCAATGGCATAAAATATCAAAAATACGCGTATTTAGTTTATTAATACCGGTGCGTACTTATGTTTTAGTTTAATTTTATTATACTCTCGCAACCTATTGCTACAGAGTATAATAGTTTTGTTCACCTAACTGTTGTTTGTATCACCTAAAACTAATCGAGTTAAATAAAGCGTTATATATATATAATAAATGATCAGGATGAAGAGACGAGTTGAAATCCGGGTGACTGTCTGTCCGTCCGTCTGTGCAAGCTGTAATTTGAGTAAAAATTGAGATACCTTTATGAAATTGGTACACACGTTTCTTGGTTCAGTTAGACGGTTGGTATTGCTGATGGGCGTAATCGGACCACTGCCACGCCCACAAAACAAAATTAATCAAATACCAATAAATTGTCATAACTAAGCAATACAATAATATACAAAGCAGTTATTTGGTTTACAGGATCAAATTAGGAAAGGGCATATGCAGTTAAAAACTTTTTTAAAATCCATAAATTTATTTAAAGCTATAATAACAAAATTCTTAGAGAACAAATAGTTTAAGCACCTCTATCTACAGTGTGAAAATGGGTGAAATCAGGTGACAACCCCGCCCACTCCCCATATAACGGTACTGTTAAAAACTACTAACAGCGCGATAAATCAAGCACTAAACACGCCAAAAACGTTAAATAGTATCTTTAGGATGGTATGAGATAACTTTATAAGAATCGCGTTCAAAATTAGACAGTAGGATTGGCACCGCCCTCTTTTAGGTGAAAACCCATACGTTGGGATCTACTTAACTGATTTCAAACAAATTCGGTATATGACATTCTTTCTTCATTTCTATGTTATAGAAATCGGATTACAACCGCGCCAATTCCCATATAACACCATTTTAAATTCCATCTGATTCTTTCACTTTCCACTATGCAAATCAAGCAACAATGATTGTATCGGGGTAAAACTTTGCGTGAATAATGCGTAAAAAACATGCCACTTTGTGACCAAAAATTGTATAAATCGAACCTCTAGGCACTGAATATGTAGACCCCAGTACCTATAGTCGACTTTTTACCGAAAATATCGGTAATGTGTAAGATATATAATTGAAATTCATATAATAAAATAAGTAAATGAAACTCTCGATAATAGTAAGATCTTGTGTCAAAAATATGTTGAATCGGATCAATACATCCTTCAATATAAAGTTATGCCAACACCTGAAGTAATATCCCGGGCTTTGAACCTTGCAAGTTGCGAGAGTGTAAAATGTTCGGTTACTTTCTTACTTGTTAAGTAATTTACTACCAACCGCACCTTTTATTTTTAAACTTATTTATGGACTTCGAAAAGATGTACGTTTATACTTGTACATGTATGTATATATTATATAATTAATTATTGATAGTATTTTTTTTTGGTTGATAATTTAACATATATTATATGTATAAGTGTTAATTTAACCACACCGTATATTTAGTTTAGAAATAACCGATTTCTCAAAAACAAAATATTAAAATTTAAATGTACCCATATACATTGGGTATATGACAACACGTAGATCATATATGCCGTATATATCATATACGTATGTATATTGTATATATATATTAATGTGCGTATTCGTAATTTTTTCGCTGTGAGCGAAGAGAGAGCAAAAGGAATATAATATATGATTTGCTGTTATTTTACCGACTGCACCTATGTTTGCGAGATATTCGTACGTACGTTTATATAAGTGTATGTTAATGTTGTATATTTTTTGCTAACTGATTATGTATATGTGAATATTTGTAATTTCGCTGTTGATTGTGGTTTTAATTGTGAAATCTTGCTTACTGCTTTAAGAAACAGAACGGGTATTGCCGGAATGTTATTACAAGTTATACTTGAATATTTTTTTTGTATACTCTTGCAACATGTTCCTTCAGAGTATAATAGTTTTGTTCACATAACGGTTGTGCGTATCACCTAAAACTAATCGAAATAGATATAGGGTTATATATGTGGCAAACCATTAACTATATATGTATATAAATGATGATGACGAGATGAGTTGAAATTGATGTCTGTCTGTCCGTCCGCTTGTGCAAGCTTTAACTTGAGTAAAAGTTAAGATATCTTGCTGAAGCTGGGTACACATGTTCCTTGGCTTCATAAGACGTTTGGTATTGTATATGGGCGTAATCGGACCACTACCACGCCCACAAAACCCCATTAATCGAAAACTTATAAAACGCCATAACTAAGCATTAAATTAAACAAAATATATATCTGTAATTTGATAAAAAAAAATTGTATTGTGGGGGGTCGTAGCCCCACCTCCTAATAAATTCAATGTATATTTCTTCTAAACCATTCATGCTATATAACCCAAATATGCACAAAATAAATATTTTTGACACTTCCTTCGACCACCCTTCAGTAAAAATTATGACAGGGTGGCTCTTTATATGCTTCTTCTTATATGCGTGCCTTATTTGTTATATTTTGGTTAACAGAGTGACATATATTGGTTATCAAAATTGTTTACAGTCTGTTAAAGGTTAAAAATACATTTGTTAGCGAATAGGTTATATATGTGTTATCCATAAAAAATGTATCTGTTATCCAAATTTCTGCTTGTGTTATAGTTTTGGTTAACAGTTTGTTACCTTTAACATATAATATTTGTTACCTATTTGTTAGCAGTAACAAGCTTACCTGTTACTTCGATTTTCCTCCATATGTATTTCGCTGCAATATGGAGGTAACTCATATCACTACTACAATCACACTTTTCTAGCTGTTTCTGAACACAAGTACATTAACTGTCATTTCTAATTAAATAAGGAATCCTAAAGTTAGAAAAAATAAAAAGTATCGATAATCAAGCAAATCGAAAAATTAACATATTAAAAGAGGAAAAGCGAATAACAAATTTTCAAGATGAAGAGTTAATAATAGAAGCCGGTAAAAGCGCAATTTTGAGGTTAAATTTGACGTTTTAACAACTCAACTCTTATATGATTAATATTTATATAATGAATAATTCTTTTAAATATATCAATAGATGAAAATCATAGCGAAATTTTAACAATGTTAAGCTTTCTGGTTTGTGTTTTGTTTTTATAACTAAAGCTTTTGTTAATGCAAATTTGGAAGTCGAGAAACACGTAGTTGTATTACATACAAAGTAATACAATACAACAGATAAGCAATTCACGTGAATTTACTATAATTTAATATCTTATTTGAGGTACCATAATACAGTGGGTAATTAGTGCATTAAATTATTTTGTTTGGATTCCATTATTCATACAAGTATATGCATGAATATGCGTTTGCGTATTTTACATTTCTGCTCGTGTACAGAATCTTTAATATAATAATAATGAATAATATACAAACGAATTGTGCATGCAATAGGCAGTAACGGTCAGTTTTTATGTAAATAATATATAATACATAGTGGTCCTATCTAAACAATATGTTTGGAAATTGAAATGTTGGGACAATATTCCATGCTAAATTTCCTTAAGATATATAATATTACCAAATAAAAGAGTTTTTCATACAAGAACTTGATTTTGATCGGTCAGTTTTTATGACTATATGAAAGTACACAAACAAAATTAGTAAAATATATACATTTATTAATATAACTCATATCACGAATAGATGGATGCAAATTTATACATATATTTTTGTAATTGTAGTATAAGTAATTATTTATAAGATTGTGCAGTTAGATGTACTTTACTTGTTTAAGTTTAAATTTTAAACTTAAATTTATATATATATAAATATAAAAATATTATTATTATTATATATTTATTTACCTATAAATATATTTTTAAATATCTATATAAATTAGATATATAAAAACATACATATTAATTAATTTTATTAATTAGTTTTAGTAAATACGATTTTGAATAAAATAAAGCAAATTAATGTAAAAACTACTGAATTTTATTTAAAACAGTTGGAATTGGTTATGGTAACAAAAAGGTAACCGACTGCTAACATTAAGATTTGTTAGAGGTAACAGATGAATAACCAATCGAGCAATACGCCGATGAAAATATAGTGACAGATATGCTTGGTACTGCTAACAAAAAAGGTCACAACTGCGCTATTATGTGTATATGTTAGAAGTAAAAAACTTCTTACCAAAACAACTGTTAGGGTAACCGATATTGCTGTTATGAATGTAAATAAAAGAGTTAACATATTCGGTAACACATGTTTGTGACATATAACAGACTGTTAATAGATTCGGTAACCAATATATGCCATACTGCTAGCCAAACCAATATCAATAGGATACTCGTATATGTCTGCCATAACTGTATTCGGATAGAGCGGGAAAGACATTGATCACCCAAGAGGAAATGGGTTACCTCTTTCCCACTTGCTAAACAAAAGTAACCAATTTTTTATTTTATACACGAGTAAACAATACAGCAGTTAACACGTTTGTTTACAGTTAACCATCCTGCAGGGTTCATTTATTACCTCTAACAAATTCATTGGTTAGCGTATCGGTAACCTTGTTTTTACCATAACAAATTCTTATTCTTTTAAATAGTATATATACGATATTTTTTTGTTATTTATTTAATTATTAAAACATATTTACTTAAACTAAATATAATATTAAAATTTATTAATACCTTATACTTATATAAATATATATTTACTTATATTTATATAAAATAAGTTTATATTTAAATAGTAACAATTAAAGTTTATGCTTAAACGATAATGTACAGCTAAAAAATAATAACAATCTTATTATTAATTACTAATATCACATTTATACATGTATATGTACATATAGATAATTTCATGCTGATGATTTCAATCTTATCTGCGCCTTTGACCAGCATACCCTGTGAGAAAAAAGGTGAAGAAAGATTAGTTTCCATAGTTGTACAATTGATTGACTTTTCTTATGTAGATAGAGAGTATCAGATACAAATAAATAAACGAAATTTATCTGTTATCCATACCCTTCATCGCTTCGTTGCCTTGATGTGGGCTACAAAGCAGCATATGTAGTTTAAGTTGCTGCAGCAGCACATTTCCCTCAGTGAAAATTATGTTACTCCTATTGCGTACATCCGACTATCTATGATACAAATATAAAATTAAAATCAATATTTATAAGGTAATATAAGAAAAATAATAACTACATTAACTAAAAACTATTTATTGCATTAATACTTTTGGAGTTGTACTTGGACGCTATAAGTGGTCGTGAAGGTCTTATCAATACTGCTGTAAAAAGTTCTGAAACTGTTATATTCAACGTTATGATCAACTACGACGTTATAGTGCGTAATTCGTAATTCGTAATGGGCAACGATCATCTGTTAAAACAAGAAAACACTGTCGGCCGAGGCTTTCGAATGGTTATCAGCGAGATTGAATTGTTACCAAAAATGCTAGATTCATCAATCAAATAGTGAAGTGATCATGAATACAAGTATGTAAATTATTACATTTTTATTGATATTGTACGTATATCGTTTTTGTCATATGTTGCCATTATAATATTGCTTGTATTGCGTAATATAAATGACTATAGTACATATTCTAATATAATAATAATAAGTTGTTCTTACAAATTTAAATTTGTTATTATCCATTATTCTTAATAAATAATGTTTCGAACGAAAAATACAATAGATAGTTTTTGCTTTGTGTAGTTATTCTTGTCCTTGTATTATATTCATTATATTAATGTGATACTTTTATTACATCGCCTCAAAGTTTTTCGTCTCTGTGTTGCATGTTGCGTGACGTCACTTTTCAGTAATAACATGTGCGCGCACTGCTCTTTAAATATGTACATACATATGTGCGTATGACATTGCCCAACAAATAATGTACACATAAACATACATACACATGAAAATATGTAACCCTAATAAATTACGAAGGTGCGTATGACATTGCCGAATAAATAATACATACATTAACCTACATACACATATGCGTACACATGTAAATATGTAAGCTGAAAAAACTACAAACATTATTCTTCAAAAACAACAATCGTCTCAAGTAGCTTAAGCAGCACACAGAGATGTCAATATGGCAGCCAAATTGCTGAAGCCCGGATATATAGTAAATCACACAAAAACAACATTTCATTCATGAACGCAGGCGTACTCTTAACAAGCGAAGTTGATTCATTCATAAAAGTAAACGCAACACATCAACAGGCGTTTGCCTACAAGCGTCTTTTCGCGACGATGGCAAAAGCTACAAATCATAAATTCAACAAATTTCTGATGATCTTTCTGGAAGGGAAAAGTGTCAACCCCGCAAACCCGCAAACACAGTGACAAAAATGGCAACATAGTTCTGTCGACTTAAAACTTTAAAATATTTTTTTACAATTCTAAATATTTATTTTTCAATGACTGCGTCGATATATATGCATGCTCATACATACGTACTAAATACTAACATATTTACGATGGTTTATTGGCAAAGCTGTTAGAGTGGCAAGGGAAGCCGGGACAATCGGCGATGCTTCGTTTGTGTTTTTCGACAGAACTCGGTTTTTCTACCAACAACACAATGTTGTGACGCTTTGTCGTCGCTGTTCGACACCTTGATTCTTTGACATGAAAGCAAAAAACGTGAGCTTTGGCCAATGGTTGTCCATGTCAAGGGAGATTTCGCATGAAGCAATTAGTGTGCATATTTACATACATATGATATACAAACATATGCGAAAAAAAATATTATTTACAGATTAACTATAAATTATATATATAGTTACCATTGGTGACATTTATAAGCTGTGAAACTCATGATGGAGATGGAATTGATAATAGAATGATTTAAAATAATTGAAAAATGGATCAAAATGACTCAACAATTATAAAACATTGTTTTCAGTTTTTAAATTGTAACTTTTTAATATATATATATATATCATCTAAATAATTGTTAAGTATCATGTATGTCGTACTCTAAGACACAGAGTTCAATAAAAATATTAGTTGGAGGCCAAGTTTACTTTTATCATTTCTAACTATAATTCCTGTTTTCCAAGTATAAAATTAATATTGATGAAGCGATTTAAATGTCTATAATATGAAAAAATAAAGTTTAGCACTTTCCGAGGTTTCACAAAACCACACAATTATTTTTGTTTCTTTTTTATTTTAATTTTATTTTCTTGTTATTGGACATTTCAGCTCTAGGCACAAGATAGTGAGGATCTACTATTATGTTATGGTTTTCGAGGTCAGTTGCCTTTTTCTGTTTTAGTTTATCTATGTTATTCTATCTGCTTTTGTAACACTGTTCAGTTTTCTATAACCAATTAGCATTCTGTATTTTTTTGCTAGCCTCTTCTTTGAGCGCCATTGGATATTGGTAAAACTATGAATATTATAGTGTGTCGGTGTTCCTGCATATTTCTGCTTTAACATTTGTGACGTTGGTCCGTTTCTCATTTGGTTCCGCGAAATGGTGGGGGTAGTTTTTTAGCAATTGGCTTAGTTTTGTTAGCTGAAATTGGGTGAGATGATGGACTCCTGGTACAATTATGTTTACCACATCGAATTTGTGATTTGAAAGTTGCGATACTTTCAGTATCTGTCCACTCCTCCACTCCAGTTATTCCAAAAATTCAGATAAGTATCGTCATATTGTTGTTCTTGGTAATTGTTATTCTTGTTCTGTAATTATTTGTTCATAATTAGTCATTGTTTGTGTTTTTTCTCTGGTTTGCTGACCAATTTCTTTCAAATTTCTCCGTCGTTTGGCTGTTCGGTGGTTGGCAGTGTTATTTCGCCTGCCTCGAATTGAGGTCTAATCATTTCATTATTTTGTCTGGTTTAAATGCTACTGTCGGTTCTGGACGTGGTTATGGCTTGGTTGCGGTCAGAGGCGGTGGTTGAACATTATTGTTTGAATTAGTAAACAATGTTCTTTTTTGTATTTGTAGAAAAGTATTATTAGGTAGTTTGTGTACTGGAACCGGAATGTAACGTGGGATATTTCTATGTGCTTGTGTCGCGTTTTTCAGCATAATGTAAGGTAAGGCAGTTGGAGATGGCATTCCAATTTAAGGGGACGTTGTGCGATTATCTGGCAATGTCCGCGTTACTAAATATTTAGTTTCTAATAGTGGGTAAAATACTGAAATATTTTGAAGTACCTCTTTTGCGCTCATATGTTTTAAGTATTCTATCAACCAAGAGCCAAATCCTAATGGTTCACTAGAAAATACAAGTATTTCTAAGTCTATTAAATTTTCTTAATATTCCAAGTTTATTTCTTGAAACTCTGCACTAGTAAAGTCAAATATTTGAGTTTGAATCTGTTGTAACAAGATTGTGAATTGGTCACATTAAACTTGCCGAATGGCATTTGTCAAATCGTCAGATTGGGTCATATTTTTATTATTTTTATGTAATTTGGCTCCGTTTATGTCTTTGTTGTTAGAGATTTTCTTCAAGATTCAAGATGGGGGTCTAAGCAAAAATTTAATTTTATATTGTCAATTTAGTTGAAGTATTCTAATTTCCTCAAAGTACTTATTGATTAGCTTTAATAATTTCGATAAATGTTTGCATCAAATATACATTTTTTAATGTTTGATTAAAAGAATAGTATCGACTTCATATTAAAGTTTCATATTTCGTATTTGTTATTGACCAAAAATATTGTATCAATCGTTTAAACTTTAATTTTCCTTTTCATATAATTGGTATAAAACATTATTATTTCCATTTTCACTTAGGCTCAATATATTTAAAAAGTTTAAAAAAAAAATTAAAATTTAACTTTTATTTATGCTTAATATTTATATTTTGGACCCGTATAAATGTTTTTTGTTATAAAATTTAAATTTTCAGATATAATTTTTATTTTCTTTTTCAATATCTATATTTTTCTTTTCCATAAAATTTTAAGTTTCCAAATACAATTTTTTGACTTAATTTATTAATTTCCCTTTTTTCAAATTCTATATATATTAAGTTTTGTTTAAACTTTTATTTATTTTTCAAATAATTATCACTTAAATTCTGACTTAAATTAGGGAATTTGGTGTGCTCGCTTTAGAGTCCTGTTTGCTTACCTAACAATCCATCTATATTCCCACGATGAGGTTCGTTCCTCAGTTTCAGTTGAAGGATTCTCTCTAGTAGTACGAGGGCTAGTGACGGGAAATTAATCCACAAACCTAACTTAATGAGATTATGTCCTTTACACGAGTCCCTGATCGGGCGCCAGTAAATTTTAAAGAAATTGTATTTTCCTTTATTGAGCACAAAATTGTAACTGAACAATAGTTTCTTAAATTTACCCTAAACTAGCTGTGTGTCAACGGCAGCGGCGTCCGAATTATTCAACAGAACTTGCAGTTAATGAGTTTTGATATCGATCGATTCTGAGAGTTAAAGGGGTTGTTTGTTTATATATGCAATGGTCAGCAGAAATATCGATTGATTCCATAAGCGGATTGGAGCGGATGTTTATTTTAACAAATTTCGTTATGTTGTTGAACTTTAATAATGTTGCAATGAATATTGCTAAATTGTTGCAATTAATTCTGATAATTGTGGCAATTAATATTACTATGTTAAGATAAATGTTATTTGTGTTAACTTGTATTTTCGGGCACCGTCATTCCGCGCAATTCTCTGCATTCGATTCGACATTTCATCAGCTACAACAGCGGGCCTGCTTGCGAGGTACATCCAATAACCGAGCCTGTTCCAAATGTAAATTTATATTATTTTTATTTTAAACTATTGTGGGGTAGCTACTAAATGCTAATATAAAGTCGAGCACACACCATTAATATATTGGGTTCAACTTCGTTCACGTGTAAAAACAAAATTGGGTAAATTGCATATAACAAATGACTACAGCATATATAAGAATACAAGTATATTAAAAATTAGTTGTTTATACAAATGTAAATTTGTTATTATACTTTTTTCTTAAATAATAATATTATTGTAACGAAAAATGCAAAATATATGTCTAAGTTTGTGTAGTTTTTATTATTCTTGTATTACCTTATATATATTGGTTTTAATTTTGTTTTTTATACTCTCTCAACATGTTGCCACAGAGCATAATAGTTTTATTACCTAACGGTTGTTTGTATCACCTAAAACTAATCGAGTTAGATATAGGGTTATATATATATAAATGATCAGGATGAAGAGACGAGTTTAAGTCCGGGTGACTGTCTGTCCGTCCGTGCTACCCGTAACTTGAGAAATTTAGTACACATGTTTCTTGAGTAAAAATTGAGATATCCTTATGAAACTTGGTACACATGTTTCTTGGTACCGTAAGACGGTTGGTGTTGTAGATGGGCGTAATCGGATCACAGCCACGCCTACAAAACGCCATTATTCAAAAACAAGTAAATTGCCATAACTAAGCTACATAATAAGATATAAGACTGTTATTTAACCTACAGAATCATATTAGGGAAAGGCATCAAGTGTTTAAATTTTTTTAAACAGTGGGCATGGTGCCGCCCCCTAAAAGGTTTAATGTGCATATCTCCTAAACCGCTGTAGCTATAACAACAAAATTCACTGGATGCAAATGTTTTTAGCACCTCTATTGACAGTGTGAAAATGTGTAAAATCGGGTGACAACCCCGCCCACTCCCCATATAAGGGTACTGTTAAAAACTACTAAAAGCGCGATAAATCAAGCACTTAACACGCCATAGACATTAAATTTTATCTCTGGGATGGTAAGAGATGACTTTATAGGAACTGCGTTCAAAATTGTACAGTGGGCGTAGCACCGTCCACTTTTAGGTGAAAACCCATATCTTGGGAACTGGTTAACCGATTTCAATCAAATTTGGTACATAACATTCATCTTTTATTTCTATATTATAGTGCGCAAATGGGCGAAATCGGATTAGAACCACGCCTATTTCGCATATAACACTATTTTGAATTCCATTTGATTCTTTCACTTTGCAGTTAAACTGTTCAAGCCCCTAGGTACTGAATATGTGGACCCCAGTGCCTATAGTTGACTTTTTACCGATAATATCGGTCAATGTATAAGATATATAATTGAAATTCATGTAATAGTATTCTCGATAATGGTATGTTTTTGTGACAAAAATGGATTGAATCGAATCAATACTTCCTATAGCCCTCATATGCCTAATATAAAGATTTTTGAACTTCCGGGTGACTTTATACCGCGTATATCAGCCAGTATGTGAGTTATCTCAATGAAAATGAGACAGCGTGTTTTGCTCAGAACAAGGTATCTTTGTGTCTAAACTCAAAGAAATCGGGTAAAAAGTTTACCTAGCCCCCATGTAACTAATATCAGGATTTTCGAACATTCGTGTGACTTTACTCCATATGATTAGTGATGATATGTGAAGTACCTTAATGAAACAGTGGGAGCATTTTATTAGTCTGTGGCACGTTAGTAGTATGTGGTATTGGCAAAAATTGATAAGATCGGGTTTATACTACCCTCAACTTTTATATACTACTTATACTGCTTTTTGTTATTCTAACCAGTTTTTTGTCGAATATGTCGGTCAGTGAGTATTAGTATTTGTTTGTTTTATATATAAAATTGCTCCAAAATATGTTCTCGAGTATAGCTGAGCAATGTCGAAATTAATATCTTTCTCTATCCCCAATATATATATGATTTCCGTCTTTCTACCTGACTTTAAAATGTTCCGGTTGATCAAAATGTGATACTTTAATGAAATTAAGTGGAGAAGGTTTTTTAAAAATTATGTGGTTTGACGCAGAATTAGAATGAAATTAGTCTTGTCTAAACCTCACACCTTCATATAAGGAATTACGATTCTCTGGTTGACGTTTGCCACATGAGCATATTGAAAAATCTCAAGCCTTTTTGAGATGAAATAAATTGTTGCGAGCGCAACTTAAATAAAAAATGCCAATGAATAACTTAAATAAAAGTGCCTAATGAAAATATTCGGTTAAGTCAAAGACGTGCGTTCGCGAGTGTGGTCTTATTGCAATAGCATTCTTTATTTTAAGTATAGGTATTATAATTTAGCCTAAACCTTAACCTAACTTCTTAAACTAGTGTAATAACTAATGTAATAGATATTGTGTTTTGTAATAAGGAAAGTCTTTTTATAGCATAAAAAATTTATAATTCATTTCCACATTATTCAATTCATCATTATTTTTTTTAAATTTTATTAACATATATTTTATTTAAGTTTCGAAAAGATGCTTGACGCAACACCGGCCACCTTGACAGGATCATTATTCTTCATCATTGATGGGTAGCAGGGCGAGCTTGTGAATAGGGCGCTTAATTGTGCCTGCCTTGGTTGCCACGTCTGCCACTCGTACCTTGCCGTCTTGCCCTACTTCGTTTCCAATGACTCGTCCTGGGACCCACTGCTGCGGTGGCATGTTGTCTTCGTGAACGAGGACGAGATCGTCGGGCTGAAGGTTCCGCTTCGGATACAATCATTTGTAGCGCTCCTGAAGGCTCGTAACGTACATTTTGGACCATTGTCGCCAAAACTGTTGCTTGAAACAGCAAACAAGTTGCCATCTCTCGCAGCAACGAATTGGGTCCATTGTTACTTGTGCTGGTGGTAGTACTCGTAGTAGGTGAGAGCCTATAAGTAGGTGTGCTGTAGTTAGCGCTTCGCTGTCGTTGGGGTCCTGACTCAACGGTGCGAGGGGTCGCGAGTTGAGGATGGCCTGCACTTCGGACAGCAGTGTTCCCAGCTCTTCGGGTGTGAGGAGCACGTTACCCATTGCACGTACGATGAGATGTTTGGCGGACTTCACTGCCGCCTCCCATAATCCGCCGAAGTGCGGCGCCCTAGGTGGTATAAATACGAATTTGAACCCTTCTTCGCCGGCGAATCCCACTAGTTCTGCAGCCTGGGACAGAAACGCCTCCTTGAGCTCGCGCAGTTTGCGGTCGGCGCCGACGAAGTTGGTTGCGTTGTCGCTGTATATCGTTTGGGGCATCCCTCGGCGACCAATGAACCTTTTGAGGGCGAAAATAAAGGAATTAGTCGATAAGTCAGAAACTAATTCTAAATGTACAGCTTTTGGAGTGAAGCAAACGAAAACTGCGATATACGTTTTCAAGGGTGGTCGAACGCGTATTTTTAATGTAGTATATATTGGACCACAAAAATCTACGCCATATATGAGAAAGGGTCGTAGCGTTTGAAGTCTTCCGAGTGGCAAATTTCCCATTATTTGGGTTTGCAAATTAGGCTTGTAATGAAAACAGTGTGTTCAGTTTCTTATGGTTCTACTGCATTCTTTTCTGGCATTTATCAGCCATATGCGTTCTCGAAGAAGCGCAACCAACGCTTTTGCCCCAGCGTGGTGGTTTCGAAAGTGCAGGAACGTAAATAAAAGTTAACGAAATGCGAATTTTTATTCAGTAATAAGGGAAATTTGGCATCGTATGGGAGAGGTGCATTTAATAGGCGACCTCCTAATCGGATCAATTTGAATGAAAGCAACATATCCGAGTACTCATGCAAAAACGGGTTGAGTTTTTGCAAGTTTGCGGGTAGCGTGGTGCCTTTAGTCAGTTTTTGGATTTCATTCGCAAATTCTGAATGTTAGACCACCTGAACAATTTTCAACAAACTCAAGGGTAATTCATCTGATGTCAGATCCCTTCCCACAGTAAGCAATTTTGGTCGTCTAAGCCACCGCAATAAATATGCGACCACACGAAGCAATTTTTGATGAGAAGAGATTTTTTCGATAAGGTCCATTAGTGCATTGTTTTTCACATTTGCAGCTAGTGTGAAAGTATTTTTCTTCTTCTCTAATGCTTTGTCTTCTGGAGAGAGCAGAAAGTGAGTGTTAATCGCCCAAAGGCGGGGTCTTCTAAAAGGAACTGTGGACCGTCAAACCATATCGAATTATTCAATTCGCCCACGTTGCAACCCCGAGACACTTGATCCGCAGGATTTTGTTTTGTTGGCATATGTCACCAATGTACTTTGTCAGTCAATTCTTGGATTTCGGATACTCTATTTGCGACAAAGGTTTGTAATGTAGATGGATGTGTTATAACCCAATGCAACACGATTTCAGACTCTGTCCAAAATGTAATTTTCTCGAATCGTCGACTCAACATACGCGCTACTCGTGATGAGCCTGATATTGAAGTAGTCTGTCGCTAATTCTAGTGAGGACAGACACTCCTTGAATGCACGGTTCCCGTACTCAGGGCTTGTATTGCCGCTCTGCTGTCGGAGTGAATGCTCACCTCTCTAGACAAAGCTGCACTTCGTAACAGTACTTCTACTGCCACCTTCCGCCTGAAAAACGCTACAG